CGCCGTGGTGGGGTCAAGCGCATCTCGGGCTTGATCTACGAGGAGACCCGCGGGGTGCTGAAGGTTTTCCTGGAGAATGTGATCAGGGATGCGGTCACCTACACTGAGCACGCCAAGCGCAAGACGGTCACTGCCATGGATGTGGTGTACGCTCTGAAGCGCCAGGGCCGCACTCTCTATGGATTCGGCGGCTGAGCACATGGACCCTTTTCCAGCGAACCCAAAGGCTCTTTTCAGAGCCACCCAACCCCTCCGATTGAGAGCGGAGACCTGAGCACAGGGAAGCCAGCATATAGGGAGGATGAAGTGTACTGCAGCTGGTTATTTAACATCTTTCGATCCTTTACGAAAAAAATACACTATTTTCGTGCGCAGTGTTACAGGAGAGAGAACAGGCAGAACAGATCATTCACTTGGTTGTCCTCGGTAGTAACTGATGTTTTATTATCAAAATATTCCTACAGTTTGAGGGTTTTCAGTCATTCGAGAATATACTGATATGCAGCTGGTTGTGTCACATTGTGACGAAGATACAGAAGCAGCAGTCGGCTCTGTCATTCAATCATGGCTGATCTGTTTCTCAACCCTGACGTGCCTTCTCCCCCGATCTTTTGATCCTCTTTCTTGTGAATACCTGTCTATCTCAGTCCTAAAACCAGTATGTGCAGTTGGCTGTCTATATCACGAATAATAATTTGTCCTGTCAGTAATTTTGGGACCCAATCGCTAATGATACATATTGCAGTATTTGTACTTCATTGAAGCTTCCAGGAATGATACTTTGTTCAGTTTTGTTTCTGGCAGCCCGTGCCGACGTTTTAGTGGCGTGTTCTTTCCATCTGCCTTGCAGACAGTTCCGGCAGCAATTATTGTGTTCGGGCTAATTATAATCTGCGTGAAATAACAATGTACCGATAAAGTGATATTCTGTATTTTTTTTATTGGCGTACACTATATTAGCTTTTCAAAAGTCGGCGGCTTATTTAGATTAACGGCGGTAACACGTTCGGTCGATCAGTGTGTCTGAGCTGTATTGAACCCCGCGCTTTCTTCCTGTTATAGGCAGATCAGGCAATGATCCCGCATCCTGACTGCGCTGACTGCAAGGCAGTTTTAAAAGAAAATTGTATAAAGTATAACATGTAATCTTAGTTGTAGCCAAATGGTGTTTTGCGTTTAATATTTATTTAATCTCAGGCTGAAATCGGCGGGCTTTTTGAAATTGACAAACTGTCATTTCAAGTTAACCAATTATTCTTCAACAATTATTTTACTGCCTTTTCTGTACCTTCCGGAGCTGTTTCTCAGTGGGCTGAGGGAGGGACTGTATCCATTCCCAGCTCTCGGGCGGGATCTTCATTCCCCTTAAATAGGCAGCACCGCAGCAGGCTCAGCATTGATAGCAACAACCTGTGTGTGTTGAAGAGAATGGCCAGAACCAAGCAGACAGCGCGGAAGTCCACCGGAGGGAAAGCTCCCCGCAAGCAGCTTGCAACCAAAGCGGCCCGCAAGAGCGCTCCGGCCACGGGCGGAGTGAAGAAACCTCATCGCTACAGACCCGGCACGGTGGCTCTGCAGGAAATCCGCCGCTACCACAAATCCACCGAGCTGCTGATCCGCAAACTGCCCTTCCAGCGCCTGGTGCGAGAGATCGCTCAGGACTTCAAGACCGACCTGCGGTTCCAGAGCTCGGCCGTGATGGCCCTGCAGGAGGCCAGCGAGGCTTACCTGGTGGGGCTGTTTGAGGACACCAACATGTGTGCCATCCACGCCAAGCGAGTCACCATCATGCCGAAAGACATCCAGCTGGCCCGTCGGATTCGCGGGGAGCGCGCCTAAACGGAACGTACCCGCCCTCCACATTAACCCCGAGAAACACAACGGCTCTTTTCAGAGCCACTAAACTATTCGGAGACAGCAGTAATTGGTGGGGACCGTTGGATAATTTTATTATCCGCCTATGATTTTCTATTGTTACACTGCGTCTTTTCTGCTGTTAAAGAAATTGAATCAATCTGAGAAGTGCATTTGTCACATTAATTTGAAGACAAAATTCAAGCAGCGGCAGCGAAGTTAGAAACTGATCGCAGAACATAACTGAAGATTCCCTGTATACAGGAGATATATGATCGACAGAGCAGCAATTACAGGAACTGAATGGGCCTGGGAGATGCGCACATTTCATATTTAAAGACAAAAGTGAACAGAAGTTACAAGTTGAGATGTTAGCAGTAGTCACAAAACACAATTGACTCCATGTATGCAAAAGTTTCCAAATTCCCGATAAAACGTCTAAATATGCTCATTGTCTCCCTTGGTGTTTTCACAGCGATAAATGTAAATTTCAGAAGCCCGCCAAAGCGTTCAAAAGATTTTAAAGTTTCGGGCACACAATCTCTTTTCCCCTTCTCCCTCCAGGTTGTTCCCTATCAGTGTATTAATAGGGACGCCGCCTTTAGCTACTATTTTCATGTCCGTGTCCCTTACTGCAAAATCGCCACATTTAGTAATCTAGTCAGACAGCTGTTCTAGTTTTATTTTGACTCATTCTGAAAGTCTTAAAAAAGCACAAACATTCTCATTTACAGCAATCTCATTAGAGTGCCGAGTCTTTACGTTAAAAGAATAGGACACTAGTGACGGTCTCGCTGCTTTTCACTGATGTCGTGGGTGGCTCTTAAAAGAGCCTTTGGGTTATCAAATAAAAAAATGGTCTCTTCACTTTTTAGTGGCGCCCCCAGCGGCGGTTTTCTTGGGCAGCAGCATGGCTTGGATATTAGGCAACACCCCACCCTGAGCGATGGTCACCCCTCCCAGCAGCTTGTTGAGCTCCTCGTCGTTGCGCACGGCCAGCTGGAGGTGCCTGGGGATGATGCGGGTCTTCTTGTTGTCCCGGGCCGCGTTACCGGCCAGCTCAAGGATTTCAGCCATCAGATACTCGAGCACCGCAGCCAGATAGACTGGCGCTCCGGCACCCACACGCTCAGCATAGTTACCCTTTCTCAGGAGCCTGTGAACACGGCCCACCGGGAACTGCAGGCCAGCCCGGGACGACCGGGACTTGGCCTTGGAGCGAGCTTTCCCACCACCGCCCTTTCCTCTCCCAGACATGGCCAAAATCTTCCAAGCACTTTCACAGAAAATGTTGCAATGCGCCCACATCCCGGCCTCTTATACCTTCGGGAGGAATGGTGGTGCGGCCATTGCTGATTGGTCATATTGTATAGCATCTCCTAATATAGTTTAACTTCCCAATCAGATATCTGCTTCACTCACCAATCCGGAGATGGCCCGGGGAGGAGGCCGGAAAATACCGGCGCCAAATCATCAACCGCTTTCTTTCTGATTTGAAAAGCCCGCCAAGAAGTTTCACAAAGAAGAATGCGTTCATACTTCAGATAATTTACTTTTAGAATACACCTGTATACTTTACACAATCTCTCTCTGATTCCCCGGCCGAGGTGAATCGTCTATTTCTGATTTTTCTTGCCCTGAACCTTAAGAATAAGCGGAAGGAAAAAAGGAGCCCACCGAAAATTATTCTCTGCACAGATTCATTTTATTTCACATCGGCACCCGCATATATTGATAGAAGTATCACACAACTATTTCTTTCTCGTTGAGCGCATTACTGCTTTAAACAATATTTTACAATCGCACTCCCTATTGCACGAGATCAACAATATTTCTACTTTTGCGATGCCAGACCGGCAGCTGTTCTGCTTTCATCTCGGTGCACTTTGAAATTTTCCCGCCGACAGCAGAAAGCCTCATTTATAGCTTTCTGCAAAACCGGATAGAACCCGCGGGGAGATTTGAAAATGAAACAAAACTCCTCTGCGTGGAAACCGTTGGAAAATACCGGCACCAAATCATCAACCGTTTACTTTCCGATTTGAAAAGCCCGCCAATACGAAGAAAACGTTTTACAAAGAATAGTGCGTAAATGCTTACGATTTAATTTCCTTTTAGATTACAAATGGATTCTTCACATAAACTCTCTTTCTCACTCCCTAAGCAACACCGTCTTCCGAAAATTTTGTCAAGTGGCCCTCACTTATTGTGCTAGATCAGACTTCCCTGTTTCTTCGGTTCATTTTGAAAGCCTCTCACCGACAATAGGAAGTCCCACAAACTGCATTTTGAAAATAAAATCGGATAAATTCACGCAGAGATTTGGAAATTGAAACAAAACAGAAATCGCACGATACTTCTGTTCGTGGGTCTCAAATACGGTGTCATTTATTTTCGTTGCCACGGGAGAAATTTAGGGCTCATTACTCACCGGGACAAGTTTGAAAAACCCTCCAACATGTACGAAATAGGAAAAAAGTTTTACAAAGAGGAATAAATAATTTAATTTTTCTTTGAATTTAATTCACTTTCACATTACAAGTGCACCCCGTTATATTTATAAAACCTCACATAACGTTCTTCCGGGTGAGCGCGTTTGAACTTTAAACAATAGTTTAAAGTTGCCGTTCCTATTGTCCTTGATCAGACTTCAGCCAGTTTCACACTTGCTATCGCAATCCGGCAGCTATTCTGGCTTGATCTCAGTTCATTTTGAAAGCCTCTCATCGACAGCTGAAAGCCTCATTTACAGCATTCTGCAAAAATCAGACGAAGTCTAAGTGGAGTTTTGAAAATTTAATGAAAAAGGACAAGTAAATTGCAAAATCTATTCGTGGGACTCGAACAGTTACTTTTCTTTCCTGAGGGTGAAACTCGTGTTTCATACCCCACGGGGTACTGTAGCTTCTGCCCTGATCATGGGTTAAAGAGTAACTGGAAAATATAGAAGTTGCTGAAAAATGACTCAGTGACGATAAATATGCTCTCGACACAGGCAGGGAAAAGAGACTGGGTATGTGCGCAACCGAGAATAAAGGGCAGAGTCAGGGACCACACGATAACTTTTAAAACCTTTATTAAAAAGGAACACAAAGCTTAGGGACATTAATTATACAGACCCAGAATCAATTACTAAGTTAAAACTTCATTTCTGAAGAAGGGTCTCGACCAGAAACGTCAGCTTTCCTGCTCCTCTGATGCTGCTTGGTCTGCTGTGCTGATCCAGCTCTACACCTTGTTGTCTCAGATTCTCCAGCATCGGCAGTTCCTACTATCTAAGTTAAAACGGTTCAACTGTTTCAGTGAAATTGTGGGTGGCTCTTAAAAGAGCCGTTGGGTTTTGGATTTGTGTGTGCTTTCAGCACAATGTGGTGTCTCACTTGGAGCTGGTGTACTTGGTCACCGCCTTTGTACCCTCCGACACGGCGTGCTTGGCCAGCTCCCCGGGCAGCAGCAGCCGCACGGCGGTCTGGATCTCCCGGGAACTGATGGTGCTGCGCTTGTTGTAATGGGCCAGGCGGGAAGCCTCCCCCGCGATACGCTCGAAAATATCGTTGACGAACGAGTTCATGACGCTCATGGCCTTGGAGGAGATGCCGGTGTCGGGGTGAATCTGCTTCATCACTTTCTAGATGTAGATGGAGTAACTTTCTTTCCTGGATCGTTTTCTTTTCTTGCTGCCTTTCCCTGGCGCCCTCTTGATGATTTTCTTCGCGCCCTTCTTGGAAGTTGGCTGCGCTTTCTTCTCATCTGTCAGAGTGACAGCCACTTTCAGATACAGAATAAAGGAAAGCGGGCTCGGAGCTCGCATTTTATAGCCTGACGGCGTCAGCAATGCTAATGAAGGATGGGGGAAAGCCTTGTTCCTGATTGGGTAGTTTACAAGAATGTCATGACATTAGCCTTTCTGTGATTGGTTAGTGTGGGACACAATGTGGATCTGTTAGGATCTGCAACGAAATGTGAAACACAAACCGAAATTTTGTACACGGATCAAACTCCTTGCTCACTCTAAATTTAACTTGTTATTGTCATTTAATGATATTATGAACACAGTACCTGAGAATTTTTAATTGCGACAATGTATTTATTCTGCTCACAGCAACCTTTTGTGTGTAACATCAGTTTGTTTCATCACGCTGTGATTTCTGCATTATACTGTGAGCAGTATTGTGTTGTTAAGAGATTGAGGTTTAATGAGGGATAGTTTGTCGAATATCTGTCAGTCTCTGCTATATGAAAATGGGAATGCAGTTATCCATCTGACACTGTCTGTTGATGCAGTGTGGATGATTATTACTCTCTCACAATCTGTTCCTGTCATACAGTCATAAAGATGTACAGCACTCTTGGGTCCACCTCATCCATGGCAACCAGATATCCTGAATTAATCGAATCCCATTTGCCAGCATTTGGCCCACATCACTCTAAGCCCTTCCTACTCATATACCTGTCCAGATGCCTTTTAAACGTTGTAGTTGTACTGACCTCCACCACTTCCTTTGGCAGTTCAATGCAGTTACGCACCACTCTTTGTGTGCAAACATTGCCCACCTTAAGTTCCTTTTAAATCTTGAATTTCTCATCCAAAACCCATGCCCTCCAGTTTTGGACTCGTCTACCGTGGGCAAAAGAACTTGATTATTCACCCTATCCATGCCCCTCTCAATTTTATAATCTTCTATAAGATCACCACCCAGCCTCTGACACTCTATGGAAAACAAGCCACAAAACAAGCCACAATGAGCCCTATCTATTCAGTCTCTCCCTGCAGCTCAAACTCTCCAACTGTGGCAACATCCTTTTAAACATGTTCTTAACCCTTTCAAGTTTAACAACACCTTCCCTATTGCAAGGGGACAGCAGAACTGAATGCAGTATTTCAAAAGTAGTCTAACCAATGTTCTGTACAGTCACAACATGACCTCCCAATCCTCAATATACACTCAATGCACTGACCAATAAAGGCAATTGTATCAAACACCTTCTTTACTGCTCTGTCTAAATGGAATTCCACTTTCAAGGAGCTATGAACCTGCACTCCAAGGTCTCTTGGTTTGGCAACACTTCCCTCGAGCTTACCATGAAGCGTGCAAGTCCTGCCCTGATTTTCCCTTACAAAATGTAGCACCTCACATTTATCAAGATTAAACTCCAGCTGCCACTCCATAGCCCATTGGTCCTTTTGATCAAGGTCCTGTTGTAGTCTGAGGTCATACAGCATGGACAAAGGCCCTTGAGCCCAAGCTGGTTCATGCTGACCATGGTGCCCTCTCAGCTAATTCCAATTGCCTGCATTTGGTCTATATCCCTCTAAAACCTTCCCATTCAAATGTTTCTTCATTGCTGCTATTGCCTCAACAACTTTCTCTGGCAGCCTATTCCACATATGCACCACTTCCCCTCAGGTCCTTCTTAAATCCCTCTGTTATTTTTGATAACCTTCCTCACTATCAACAATACCTCCTAATTTTGTATCATTGGAAAACATACTAATTATGCCTTGTACATTCACATCAAGATCACTTATCACACAATCATAGAATCCCTACAGTGTGGAAACAGGCCCTTCGGCCCAACAAGTCCATGCCAACCATCGGAGCATCCCACCAGGACCAATCCCCCCTATAACCCACCGAACTGACACATCACTGAACACTACGGGCAAATTCCCAGAGCCAATCCACCTAGACTGCACATCTGTGAACTATGGGAGGAAACTGGAGCACCCGGAAGAAACCCATGCAGACACGGGGAGAATGTGCAAACTCCACACAGACAATTGCCTGAGGATGGAATCGAACCCGGGTCCCTGGTGCTGTGAGGCAGCAGTGCTAACCAATGAGACACCGAGCCACCCAACAAAGGCCTCAGCATCAAGCCCTGTGGCACACCACGAGTCACAGGTTTCCAGTCCGAGAAACAAGCTTCAACCATCACACTCTGCTTCCTACCATTGAGCCAATTTTGAATCAAATTAGCGAGCTCTCCCTGGATCCCTTCATTACTAGCCTGCTGTGCAGGACCTTGTCAAAGGCCCTACTAAAGTCCATACAGACTACATCCACTGCCCTCCCCTCATCTATCCACTTGGTTACCTCTTTGAAAAACTGAAAGATTTGTCAAATGTGCCTTCCTGCACACAAATCCATGCTGACTATCCGTAATCAAACCTTGACTAGCCAAATGTTCATTGATCCTGTCACTCAGTATCCTCTCCAATAACTTGCCTACTGCTGATGTTAGGCTCACTGGCTGGAAGTTCCCTGGATTCTCTTTGCTCCCTTTCTTAAACAATGGAACAACATTAGCCATCCTCCAGTCTTCCAGAACTTCACCAGTGGCTAAAAATGAAGCAAAAATCTCTGCAAGGGAAGGGCCTCTGCAATATTTTCCCTCACTTCCCACAAAGTCCAAGAATGGACTTGATCAGGCCTTGGGAATTCATCCACCTTAATACGATTTAAGGCTGCAAACACTCCCTCTCTGGTAACATGTATGCGGTCCAAAATATCTCCACTTCCTTCCCTTATTTCCTTAGCATCCATGATTCTCTCCTCAGCGAACATGGAGGAGAAATATTCATTAAAAATCCTCCCCATTTCCTGTGGCTCCACACATGGACCACCATCCTGATCTTTAAGGGGACCTCTTCCCTCCCTAGCCAACCTTTAACTCTTAATATAGATATAGAGCCTCTGGGGATTATCTTTAACCTTTGCCACCAGATCCATTTCATGCCATCTTTTTGCTCTTCTGATTTCCCTCTTATGTGTGCTCCTACACTTTTTATAGTTATCTAGGGATTCACTTGAGCCTGATAGCTTAAGCCCAATGTATGTCTTCTTCCCTTTCCTGACCAGACCCTCAATGTCTCTCAATATCTCAGGTCACCTTCTTCTGTCATTTCTGTCAATTTCTGTTGTCCAAATGTGTGACATTATTAGTCTGTACCTTTCGATCTGTGCTATGTGAATGTGTGGGTGTAGTTCTCAATCTATGCCTGACAGAAAATGCATGAGTGTAGTTACTCGTACCTACACGTCCATTCTGTTGTATCAATACAAGAGTGCAGGCATTAGTCTGTACCTGCCAATTTCTGCTCTGTCAATATGTGAGTTTAGTTTCTGTTAGGCACATGTGAGAGTGTAGTTATCACACTGGACCTGGGAGACTTTATTCTGTGACTATTTGAGTGCAGTTGTCACACTGTACCTGCCAGTTTTTAGTTTGTGAAAATGAGAGTGTGGTTTTAAATCTGTGACTGTCAGTTTCTCCTAAGTGAGTTTGTTTGTACAATTATCAGTCTATTCCTGAAAGATTCTGCCGTGTGAATGTGTAATTGTAGTTGTCATTCTGTCCATATCAGTCTTTGCTACGTGAATATATGAGTGTATTTACTAATTTGTCCCTGTCAGTTTCCTGTCATGTGAAAATGGCAGTTTAGTTATCAATCTGTTTATTTTTGAATGTGCTCTGTGAATGTTTGGCAGCAGTTATCACTCTGCACCTGTCAGGTTATGCTCGATAAATAAATTTTCAGTCTATCCATGACAGTTTCTGTTATAAGAATGTGAGAGTTTAGTTATCACTCTGTTGCTGCCACACTCTGCGATGTGAATGTCTGAATGCTTTTATCAGTCTTTCCCTGTCAGTTTCTGTGATGTGCACATGTGAGTGTGGTTATCAATTTGTACCTGCCATTTTCTGGTGTGTGAATATCAGAGTTTGCATATCAAATAGTACCTGTTACCTTCTGATGTGTCAATATTTGAGTGCACTTATCTGATACGCAAAGGATGGGAGTGTAGTTATCTATCTGTCACTGTCAGTATTTAAGGTGTGAATGTAGTTATCTATCTGTACCTGTTGGTTGCAGCTGACAAGATAATGTGAATGCAGTTACCAATCTATGCTAGTCAGTTTCCGCTATGTTAAAATATGAGTTTAGTTATCAATCCATGCCTGTGAATGTACGACTGTAATTATCAGTCTGTACCTCGAAGTTTCTGCAATGTGAATATGTGACTTTAGTTATCGATCTGTATGTGTCAGTTTGTCATATCAATGTGTGATTGGTATCATCAATGTGCCCCTGTTAGTTTCTGTAATTCAAATGTGACTGTAGTTATTAACCTGACCCCTTCAGTTTCTGCTATGTTAATATGTGAGTGTGGTTATCCATCGATGCCTGTCAGTTCCTACTATGTAAATGTATGGCTGTCATCATCAGTCTTTACCTGTCAGTCTCTGCTACGTAAATGAGAGTTTAGTAATTGATCTGTACCTGACAATTTCTGTTAGGTTTGTGCGTGAGTCTCAGTTAATATTCTATGAAACTGGGAGTGTTATTATCAATTTGTTCCTCTCAGTTTCTGTATTGTCAAAACAGGAGTGCAGTCATCAATCTTTCTCAGACAGTCAATGCTGTGTGAATGTGTGTGTGTATCTATCCGTCTGCTCCTATCAGATTCTGCACTGTGAATATGACAGTGCAGTTGTTAGTCAGTACCTGTCACTTCCTGCTCCGTGAATGTTTGTGTAATTATCATTCTCTCCCTGCCCGTTTCTGCTCTGTGATTGTAAGGTAATATCAATCTGCATGTGTCAGTTTTTGTTTTAAGCTCTGTGACTGAGAGTGTCATTTTCAGTCTCTATAGTTCCTGCTTTTACAATATTTGAGTTTAGTTATCGATCTGATGTTAGCTCCTGCCAGCTGACTATTTGAGCACAGTTATCAATCTGTAACTGACACTTTCTGATATGCAAGTGTGATAGTGTAGTTCTCTGCCTGTTCCTGTAAGTATGTGCAATGTGAATAAGGGAGTGTAGTTATCTGTCAAGTTTCTGTCATGTCAACCTGTGAGTGTCATGAATCTGTCCCTGCAAGTTACTGTAATATGCATGTGTGACTGTAGTTAACAACCTGTCCCTGTCATTTTCTGCTGTGCGGAGATGAATATAGTTATCAAGCTATGCATGTCAGTTTCTGCAATGTCAGTCTGTGAGTTTAGTTATCAATTTACCCCTGGTGTTTTCTACTCAATCAATGTGTGTAGTTATCAAAGTGAACCTGTCAGTTTATGCTGTGTGAAACAGAGAGTGTTATTATCAGTCCACTCCTGACAGTTTCTGTTGTGTGAATATGAGAGTGTGGGTATCTATCTGGACCTTTCAGTTTCTGCTCTGTGAATGTGTGAGTGTAGTTGTCAACCTAGTCCTCACAGTTTGTGTTATGTGAATAAATGCAGTTATCTATCTGTCTCTGTTATGTGAATGTATGAGTGCCATCATCAATCTGTACCTGTCAGTTAATGCAATTGGAATGAGAGAGTGTCGTTATCACCCTGTACCCGTCAGTTTGTCAGACTTGAATATGTGAGTGTTGTTATCCATTGACACCTGTCAGTTTCTGTAACATGAATGAGCAAGTGCCATTATCAGTCCATACTATTCACTTTCTGCTGTGTGAAGATGTGAGTTCATTCTCAGTTTCTACCAGTCAGTTTCAGCTATGTTAATATGAGAATCTGTACCTATCAGTTTCTGTGAGATGAATTTGTGAGTGCAGTTTTCAATATGTAACAGTGAGGTTCTGCTCTATGAATACTTGAGTATAATCATATATCTATACCTGTTAATTTATGCTATGTGAAACTGAGAGTGTTATCATCAACCTGTTCCTGTCAGCTTCTGCTATCTGGGTACCTGAGTATAGATATCATTCTCTTTCAATCAGTTTCTACTCAGTGAATATGTTTCCGAAATTATCAGTCTATCCATGACACTGTTTTGCTCTGTGAATGTTTAATTATCAATTAGTTATCAATTTAGTTATCTGTCAGTTTCAGTTACGAGAGTCTGAGAGTGTAGTTATTACAGTTTTTAATACATACTGATCAGGTACTCAACTACAATAGCAATCATCCCAATACCCACTAATGGAGCTGCATCAAAACACTGTTCAAGTGAGCCACAACACACTGCAGCACCCGAAGCTGCATAAAGCCAAGGAAGAACACCGATACAGTGTCTATAGAAACGACGGTTACCTGAAAAGCGTACTCCGTCGATACCTACACAACAGACTACAAGTGGATAACACAACACGCCCAGAGACACTAGTCACCCGACCATACATGAAAAACATATCAGAAATGACCACCATATTACCCCGATCCAACAACCACAACTGACAGAAGCAACGTAATTTACAGGAAATCATGCAAAGACGCCAAAAACATTACAAAGGCCAAACTGGTAGGAAACTAGCCATCAGGATTCATAAACACCAACGAGCTACCAAGAGACATGACCAACTATCACTCATCTCAACACACATGGACAAAGAGGGACAGTAATTTGACTGGGACAACATAGTAATCCGAGGACAAGCAACCAAAGACATGCATGAGAATTCCCGGAGGTCTGACATTCAAACTGGAATGCCATTAACAAATGCGTAGAGCAGGACCCCATATACCAACCATGAAGAAACAAATGCGGAAGTGATGCCACCCACCCCAGCAAACTGCAGCACATAGACAGCAAGCAGGACAGAACAGCAATGCATCATCAGAGGTGCACTGAAGGTATTATGTGGTATGGTGACAAAATGTCTGTAAACAAATAACCACAAGCTCAGCGAGCAAGTCAACAACAGCATAGTTATTAATCTGACCCCGGCTGTTCTTGCAATGCAAGTGTGACAGCAATTATCAATGTGTACCTGTAAGTTTCTGCCAATTGAGTGCCACTGTTCTCAATCTCTGTAAGTTTCTGCTTGGTGACCATGTGAGTGCAGTTATCAATATGGACCTGACAGATTCTGCTTTGTGAATGAGAGTAGTTATCAAACTGTACCTGTCAGTTTATGCCATGTGTAACCAGGAAGGCTGACTCCAGCATCTGCAGTTCTTGCTGTCTCCAAGGTAATTACCAATCTCTTCCTGTCAATTTCTTCTATATGGATATGTGCACGTACAGAAACCTGTATCTATCTACCTTACAATTTGCAAGGAAAGTTATCAATATGTACCTGTAAGAATCTACTTTGTGAATATTTGAGTATAGTTAACAAACTGTAACCATCAGTATTTTTTAAATCTGTGGATATGTGATTGCAGTTACAAATCTGTCCCTGTCACTTTATGCTCTGTGAAATTGGGAGTTGTCATCAATATGTACCTGCCAGTTTCTGCTATGTGGATATGTGAGCGTAGTTATCGTTCAGTTGCTGTCAGTTTGCTATATGAATGTGAGTGTTGTATACTAATGTGTGCATACCAGTTTCTATGATGTGAATATGTGAATGTCTTTATAATCTTTACCTGTCAGTTTCTGCAATGTCAATATGTGAGTCTCATCATCATTTTTTTTTGTCTGCATTTGCAATACAAATGAGTGAGGTTAGGTATCAATCCAAACTGGTCACTTTCTACTTGTGAAAGTGGCTTAATTGTCAGCAGCCAGTAATATTATCGGTGGAGGTGTGATTCATTATGTGATAGTTGTTATTAGAGTAATTTTATGCAGATTTCTTTCAGTTCCTGAATGTATACTTTCAGTCTATCCATCTTCAAAAATGGTGTAAATGTCAATGGGTGATGAATGCTGAAATTTGTTGGAACTGGGTATTTTGAATGGAGAGAAAAGAAAAATAAAGTTTCATTTCCTCCAACTTATCTGTTGGAAATTAAGCTCATTGTGTGTCTAATTCAATCTGCTCTGTGACTGTGGAAAGGATGTTCTCTGCTCTGACAGTGGGAACATACCTGCCGTTTGTCAGAAGGATCTGGTCACACTTGGCTTTGTACTGAAGAAGTGTTACTTTGTCTTGTTCCTTCAAGTGTTTTTCTGTAGGAAGACAGAAGAGATAGCTCCTGTCAACCAACATCAGTTGGGTTTGACAATGTTTAACTGTTCAACACAACATTTAGTTAATAATCATTTGGATATTTTATTATCATCCAGGAATTCTAACATAACTATGGGTCTGATTCCAATCTTGCCCTGAGCTGCTCCTTGTCTGATCATTTTTAAAAACTTTAACACCATTTGAGTGAGGTCCCAAAAGTAAATGATACCTGTACAGCTCCATGACTGGAAGTACCCAATGCAAGCTTGTCGGTGGATATGAGTTTAGTTATTGATCTATTCATATTAGTTCCTGCTTGTTGAATGTGTGAGTGTAGTTATCAATGTGTCGCTCTAAATCTTTGGTAAATTATTTATGTATTACACAGCAGAGACTAACAGGGACAGAATGATATAGAACGATAGATCAACTTAAATGATACAGCACAGAAAGTGGCCATTTGGCTCATCATGCCTATGCTGACCCGAACACCACCAGATGGCCATCATAATCCCATCTTCCTGCACACATCCCATAGCCCTGCAGCTTACAGAACTTAAGGTGGAGGTCCAGGTATGTTCTTACAAGAGTTTAGAATCTCTGCCTCCAGCACCAACTCAGGCAGTGTATTTGAGATAAGCACCCTCTCACAAAAATGGTTTTCCTCCCATCATCTCTCATCATCCTGCCACTTTAACTTTAATCTATAACCTGTGGTTTTTAAACTCTCTGTCAAGGGAAACAGGTTCCCCCTGACTACTCTATCTCTCCCCATCCCAACTTCACATGCCTCAAACATGGCACTCTCAGCTTTCACTGTTCAAAGGAATACAGCCCCAACCTCTACAATCACTCCTCATAGCTACAACTCTCCAGCCCTGGCAACATTCTAGTAAAACTTCTCTGCACTCTCTCCAGAGCAATAACATCCTTCCTGTAATCTGGTGACCAGAGCGGCACACAATACTTCAATTCCAGCCTCACTAGTGTCTTTTGCAGTTTCATTGTTATACCCCTACTTTTGTGTTCTATACCTCTGCCAAAGAAGGATAGCATTCTATATACATTGTTTAACAACCTTATCCACCTGTACTGCTATTTTCATAGTCCGGTACACTTGCACACCAACACCACTTGCTTTATCTACAATCTCCCCACCGCCTCATGTCTTCCTATTTATTGTGGTTTCACCTCCTGAAATGCGTTACCTCACACTTATCAGAATTGAGCTCCACGTACCACTTATCTGCCCCTTCCACCAAAATACCTATATCATTTCGGAGCGGATAGCTATCCTCTACACTATCCACTACAAGGTCAATTTTTGTGTTGTCTGCAAGTTTCCCAATTGTATCCCCCATGTTCAAGTCCAAATTGTTACCATATAAAATAAACAGCAGAAGTCCCAATACCGAGCTGTGTGGAACACCACTTGAAACAGCCTTCCATTCTCAAGGGCAGCCATCAACCATTACCATCTGATTCCTGTTGCTCAGCCAACTTTGCTTCCAATTTAACACATTGCACTGTATCCGATGAGCTTTTCCATCTCTGATTTATCTGCCGTGTGGTACTTTGTCAAATGTCTTACTAAAATCCATGTAGTTAACATGCATTACCCTCCCCTCACACATTCATGTGGCATTCACTGACAGGTATTGATTGATAACTAAAATCACATATCCACACTGTGAAAACTGACAGGGACTGATTGATAAATGCAATTGCATCTTCACACAGCAATCAGTGTCTGTTTCTGCTATATAGATATGTGAGTTTTGTTATTAATCTGTTTATGATAATGTATGAACATGCAATGTGAATATTTGAGTGCAAATTTCAATCTGTATCTGTCTGTTTCTGCTCTGTGAACCTGAGAATGTAGTTATTCATCTGCAACTATCAGTTTCTGCGATGTGAATAGAAAAATGTAGTTTTGAATTTGTAACTCTCAGTTTCCTCTACGTGAATATGTTATCGATTAATACCTGTCATTCTTGGCTATGTGCATATATGGACATTGTTAACAATCTGTCCCTGTCATTATCTGCAGTGTGAATGTTTAAGTGCATTTATAAACGTTTTCCAGTCAGTTTCTGTATTGTGAATATGGAAATATAATTATTAATTTCTCCCTGTCAGCTTCTGCTCTGTGAATACGAGTGCGTAGTTATTCCATGTTTATGCCATGTGAGGCTTGGGGGTGTTACTGTGAGTCTCTTCCGATCAGTTTCTGCTTTGTGAATATGAGAGTGTAGTACTGTTGTCAAAGAGTTATACAGCTGGGAAAAAGACCTTTGGACCAACAGTCCATGCTGACCACAGGTACCAATTTCAATTTTTCTTTTCAGCATCCGCGTGTTGTATGAGAGAGAGTTTTCTAATGTGCTGCCAATCTGAATTAAAGATAAGTATTGATCGAAGTCACACTGTCCTTTTCTAAATGTCTGCTTGCGTTTCTGGTTCTGCATGTACGGTCTGATACCCTTTATGAGGTGGGATTAATGTATTATAAATTAGTTTTTCTTACATTAAGAAAGTGTGGATATGCTTCTGCTTCAGTTAGTCTCTCACTGAGATTGTAAGTGCAGTTATAGTTAGTTTTCATCAGCATCGGGCTGACGGTCAGCATAGGATCTATTCAGTCTCTGGTATTGTGTGTCAATGTGTTCCTCGTGCTTTGTGATCATATTTCACATGAGTACATGAATGTCATGTTATGCTGAACATGTTACTTGTCGGAATTGCTGACATTCTTTTGTTGTTCAAATCTCTGCTGCTCAACATGAATGAGATTTTACCCAATACCATGTGAATCAGATCCTGTAAATGAAACTAGATAATTTAATACCTTTGTCAGTCTCTGGTACTGTAGATGCAGTTTGGTTAACATCCACAATATTAAGTCTCTGTACGATTTAGGATTATAAGTTTTGATCAGGATTGGTCAGTCTCATCTGAATGTGTATTTCAAATTTATTCCTCCTGTAACAAGATGATTATATGAGCGTTTCTTCAAACTATTTCCAATAATCTCTGGTTATCTGTTCGTATCTGTATCTGTTCATGACACTGTTTGATTTCTTTTTTGGTCCATTTAACAACAACATCTTTATTCAGTACTTTTGTAGGAGATGTGTGCTGCATTTTAATTTGTACCTCTTTGGAAGCAAATTAAATTGCAATGTTTGTTTCATCTTAAACTTGGCCTACATGTATTTCCTTCAGTTTCTACGAAGGAAATTGATACATTAGTTACATGTCCAAATCTAAGACATGGTGAGATATCTGAAGGCATATTTAATCTGGATTTCAAGTTGCTTCTTAGGCTGTTCAGTAGAATTCATTGTTGATCATGCAATAGCTTCAGTATTTTATAATGTAGCGAACAAGACTAATTTACTTTATGCCAGGATGATACCTCATCCTAAATCCGAAAGGAAAGCACTCACAAAATGGGATTGAAGTACTTCACTCTCACCCAGTCCTGTTAACGCTTAATGAAAGGCTAGCTCTCCCAACTGTGTGATCTTTAAGAGTAATGACATTTTTTTTTGTTTTTGCCTGAGTATCTACTAACCTGGCAGCATCTCTGTGCTTTCTAACTTATTCTGTACCCACTGTGTATTGGCACAATCTCACTGCACTATTTGTTGTATCAGAAAATCAGTTTCCTTCAAGTCCTTAATTGCATGAATAAGGAGAATAACTGATGCAGCCTATTTCGTCTTCTTTGTGAATGCACAATTAGTTTTGTTTCTTCCATTCACTTGTACAATTTATTCATTTGGGAAGTACTTCTCTGCCTGTCGATATGTGCTGTTCAATGGGATTGCACGTTTCAGTCTATTGTCCTTAAAATTTAGCTCATATGTGACAGGCTGTCAACAGAGAACAGCCAGATTATTTTGTGAAGAACTTGGAAACTAAAATTTAACACTGAGGACTAGGGCTGCTCTCTGTTGTGTAAATGCCCAGATTTTATATAGAAAGATGTTTTTGAAAAGAGCCGCTGTTATGAAACAAGACTGACAGATACATTCAATTGATCCTATTTCCATCTTCCTGTATTGCGTTACTGAGCAGTTTAAATATTTCTTTAAAGTGGAGAGCCAGTTACCACAATGGGAGAGGAGAGAGTTTTCAGTTCATCTCTCCTGTCGCAAATGGGAAAGAGCCTATGTTCTTCAGTTGTTTGTGCCTACAGCATTTATAAGCAAGTGAAAATGCAAGACATTGCAACAGAAATGAGTCTGTGCTTTTTTTCAGAGTTGAGGAGGGAAAAGCAATGGACCTTTGTAAAGGATACATTGCAGAGTTAACCAGCAGTGGTGATATCAAAAGATATTTTCAGGATGATACTAGTATCGTTCAACATTGCACAGCGACATAATTTTTGGAATGCTGCGAAAGTAAAGATGTTAATTTAATATGTTATTGCCAAAGGGAAAGTGAAATGAACAAATCAAATGCATTGCAGTTGACTGACCACAATGTTGCTTGTGCAGGAAAGAAAATTGGCTTATTTACTTCGATTTTGTTTTATGGCGCGGACATTACCCTGCTCTGTGTTGAAATTTTGTTTTCTGTCATGCAGTGGACAAAACCGGAACAGTCAAACTAAATTTACTGAAGAATAAATACTGTTGAACTCTCCTTGCAAACTATAAATGAGAATTGTTATATTATTGTATTGCTTGTTTGAAAAAATGGCATGCAGTTTTCTTGTGTTTTATGTAATAATTCATATGGAGTATCAAGAGGAACACAGGGCTATTTGAACAAAATTTAAGCTAATTTGAAAACAAACTGTCCATGATTATATAGTCCTCTTGCTGAGGATAGAATTAAATAAATTTATTCCTGCGAAGTGAAGAAATTGAGAACTATCTGGTGATAAAGGTGGGGATGGTAGTTCCTCTGCCACCATGATACATTTATGGAAATTGAATGCTGACTGAATGAGTGTAGAATTGTTGGCTGGTTATTTCTTAACAGTGCAGACTCGATGAGAGAAAGGACTGTTTGCTGTGCTGCAGGCGATGAATGTATGTGTGTGAGTGATAATCATTGTTCTGTACTTGTCAGCAGCTGTCATGTGAAGATGTGAGTGTAATCATCAATCTGTCCCTCTCAGTTTCTGCTGTGTAATATGTGAGTCTAGTTATCAATCTATACACATCAATTCCTCTTTCATGAACGCGGAAGCGTGTTACAAAGAACAAAGAAAATTACAGCACAGGAACAGGCCCTTCGGCTCTCCAAGCCTGCGCCGATCCAGATCCTCTATCTTAACCTGTCACCTATTTTCCCAGGATCTGTATACCTCTGCTCCCTGCCCATTCAAGTACCTGTCTAGATACATCTTAAATGATGCTATCATGCCTGCCTCTACCACTTCCACTGGCAACACGTTCCAGGCACCCACAACCCTCTGCGTAAAGAACTTTCCACACATATCTCCCTTAAACTTTTCCCCTCTCACCTTCAAATCGTGACCCCGAGTAATTGAGTTCCCCCACTCTGGGAAAAAGCTTCTTGCTATACACCCTGTTTATACCTCTCATGATTTTGTAGGACTCAATCAGGTCTCCCCTCAACCTCTGTCTTTCTAATGTAAATAATCCTAATCTACTCAACCTCTCTTCATAGCTAGCGCCCTCCATACCAGGCAACATCCTGGTGAACCTCCTCTGCACCCTCTCCAAAGCATCCACATCCTTTTGGTAATTTGGCGATCAGAACCAAATGTGGTCGAACCAAAGTCCTATGCAAATGGTACAAATATGTATCTGTCAAATTCTTCTGTGAATATAAATGTAGCTATCAATCTATATATGTTTATGCTTTCTTTTCCTGTCATGTGTGCATTTGTCTTTCTGTCCCTGTCATTTTCTGATGTGTGAATATAGTTATCAATATGTGCCTGTCAGTTTCTTCTCCATGGCTGTGCGAGTGTATTTACCCATTTATCCCAGTCAGATCCTGCCCTGCAAATCTGAGAGATGAGTTATTAAACTAAACCTGTCACTATCTGGTTTGTGAATGTGTGAATGCATTTATTATTCTCTCCCTGTCAAGTTTCTAGGGTACAGTTCAAGTTTTATTCTGGCTTGGTCAGTCTCTGGTCTGAATGCGTTTAGAGTTTAATGTTCATATGTTGTTGCAAGCTCACTGTATGAGACATTCTTAATTGTATAGTCAACAATCTAGGTTATCTGCTTGAATGTAGGTTATTTTCTGTATCGTTTCAGGTCAATATTTGATTTCCTTCTGGTCCATTTAATAGCAAAGTTTATATTCAGTAGAAGTGCATCAGATGGGTTCCGCTATTCAGTTCGTTGTTTTGTGCAAACAAATTCAATGGCAATATCAGTTTCAATCTGAAACTTGTCCTGATATGCAATTTCTCCAGTTTGTACAAAAGGAAATGATACTTTAATTACCTCTCTAAGTCTAAGAGATGGTGAGACATATAGAGGTGCAATTAATCTCTTGTTCGATATACTTCTTGGACTACTTCATGGGAATTCAGTGTGTCACAAAATTTGTCCAGTTTTTTCCAATGTAGCGAACGAGTGATATTCACGTTGTGAACACAGGAGTGCATGTACACATGGGGATTGAAGTATTTAGCTCACATTCTGTTCTGTTTGTCTCTTATCATGAAAAGGCTAGCTCTCTGACCTGAAATCCGTGAGTGGAAATCATTTTCAATGTTACACGCTCTGAGGCTTGCAATATATGTCATCTTCATGGTTGTTAGATGGTGTAACACGTGTGATGGGATAGTGTATATATTTACAACTCATTGTAAATCACTCAGTGGAGTGTGTGTGCGTCAGAGAGTGTGTGCATGCATTCTGTGTCAGGCTTTGGCACAGGATGTGCATTTGGAAGGCACGTTATTTAATCGTTCTGTCTATGCCTGGGACATCTCTTTGTCAAAAGATTAATACTGTTCTGCTCGGTTACTGATAATGTGAATGTTTTCTTACATATCTGTGCTCATTATCTACGACACGTATGGTTGGTGTAACTATGTAACAGCATGAACTATTTCTTCACCTTGACAGTAACTTTAAAAACATACTTACTAAATGTAGATTTACTGCAGCTCTTTTGTGTCTATTTCAGATGAAACTTCAGTCTATTCATTTCCAAAAATGTTGTAAATGTCAATAGGCGAAAATGTCAATGGTGAAATTTTTTGAAACAGGGGAGGTGTGTGTTGAGAAAACAGAGAAAACAAAACTATTTGTATTTTGCTGGTTGTGTTTGACTGTTGGCTTGAATGCATATCACTGGAAATTGAGTTCAATGTGTCTCTGACTCAATCTGCTCTGTGCCTGTGAAAAGGGTGTTCTCGGCTCAGACAGTGGTAACATACCTGCTGCTTATTAGAAGCAGCTGGTCACCCTTGGCTTTGTACTGAGCAAATATTACATTGTCTTGTTCCTGCAAGAAGACAGAAGCGTTAACTCCTGTAAATCAACATCAGCCAAGTTTGACAATGTCAATGTCAAACAGATTAATGTAATATTCAGTTAATAATTATTCAGATGTTTCTTTTCTTTAACTTCTTCTGATGAAGAGCAGAGCTCGAAAAGCCTGTCACCTTAATTGAACCTGTTGGATGATGACAGTGTCATGAGACTTCTGTCTTTTTTTTAAAGTCATCAATTCAAACACAGGTCTGATTCCATTTTAA